TCATGAAAATGATTTAGAACACACATTTAGAAGTCTTGCGTGCTGCCGTCCGCTATTTTTATACAACCCGATGATTCACGTTTCTATTTTCTGATTGGTCAAAACTTCAAGTCGCCACGGAAATTTGTATATTTTTTATAGTTGAGGGAAACGTATTGTTGACTTTTCGTGCGGTTGTTCTGCATTCCAGGTCAACATTACCCTTTGTAACTACCTCTGAACCATCAACAACGAAGCAGAAATGTTATATAACAACAGATATTGAATATTGATGGAATTAATAGGATATGAAGTTATGCCCTCGGTTTTACAAATGATGAACGATTTGTTTTAACGATGTGTTATAAAACTTTTCTTGTTTATTGTACAGTATGACCTTTTTGACCAGTTTGATCTGAAGTATAGCTATTTTCCGGATTTAATATGGTACCAAGTGATTTTTATACCTGGTTTGTAATTTGTTTTAAATGACTTTTGTATCGGCTTTGCTGTGGATATTAAGTGACCTATTTTCTTCAATAAGACGTTGACAGTATACACTGACAATGGGGGTGTTCAGGGAAATGCAGCAGCATCGTTTCAATTGTTAATTGAATATTGTCGAATCATGCCGTCATATCCAGTGACTTTTATCATTGCATGTCAATACATCGAAATTTGTCAATCCTGTTTAAGTTGAAGTTTATATATACGTATTAAAATGTTTGGCTTGAAGTAAGTTTAACGCACGACCAAATTTGATAGACTACAATGTTTTTAAGATTTCCCAAAGCGCGACGCGATGATGGAATTTTGACGGCTTACAAGTAATAGAATTAATGTTTACGGAGACATTGATCTGAATATAAAACAGGCCTGACCCATGAGAGCTTTAGAAATACAGATGAAGAAACTTAAAACTACCAACTGTATAGCTTACAACTGCAGACATTATTAGTTCTATTGAAACACTGGTTGATAGCTATCTGCTACTTGCATCTTCCGATGAAAACAATGTTTGCATGAGCGATTATCAAAAAAGTATTACTGCAGTAAAACAGATTGAGTAATATAATTATTTGTTTCGTGAATGTTGAACGCGTACCTTTGGGGAGATTTGTCAGTCAATTAAACGACGCAATCGGTCTTCATTAGGCATCAAACATTTGTAGCTCTTCCTGTATGAATTAATTGGTGCTTTCTTTCTCTCCAAACTTGCCAGCGTTGCACGTGGTTGTATATGTGCCGTATATGACATTATTTAGGGCAGTGTGATTCCGTACTGAATTGTAACACGTAATTGGTCACTTTACTCTTGTCCTGTCCGTAACGACACCAAGTGACCAATTACAACAAAAGATTATCAGATGCTTCTCAAGTATTCGGCCATCAAACAAATCTAGCCTAATGAAGTTTATATCGATCGCGGCACATTGTTTTAATCACAGAACCGCCATTCGATAACATTATCGACCTTCGGAGTTACAGATGTTTTATAGTTCCGCATTGTATATGTCGGCAGATATTGTGACGTCACAGCTTTCAGAGCACTGGATACAATACGTGCCGATTTTCTGGACAGCCTACGGTGACCATGGCTAAACTGAAATAGTTCTGCGTAATATAAATTCTCTAGAGAGCTAGGTTTTTACATCTTTGGTAAATAATGCTTGATTTCAATTATATTTCCCGATAAATCATCAGACACAAGTAAATGGCGCTACATGAATAGGGACTCTAATAATGACATGATTTCGCAAAGATAATCGATATACATATGACCTAAAAACATACATTTCTAAAATCAGGTTGTTATTTGCTTTATTCTTCCTGACTTGTCTCTATAGTAATGCCTAAGATACATGTACATTTACATGTCTATATTTGTTAATTTCATTATTCAAAATACAGAGGATAAACGAAAATTGCGATTAATTTATTTGTAAATGTCATTTTCTGGTCTGAACATTATATTAAAAAAGCGTTATAAAACACATCGAAAATTGGCGGTATGTGTTAACGTTTAATCAAGCATGGCTTACAATGCAAAATTTAGACCGAATCGTACAGTGTTTCAATGTAATCATGAATCAACGGAAACCTAGGTCCACTTCAGGTTTTCGCAGATTATGGCGATAATTATTCAGATTTGAATAACACACAATATTTATGTCAATTTAATGACTCTTTCGTGCACAGAAATCTCTAAATGATAAATATGGAAAAAAAACGTTGATGGCAAAATAGGAAACTTTGTACAAATGTCTGTAATACCGTGTCGTGTTGTAATAAAAGTTGTGTTTTGTTTAAAATTTGTGTGCAAACGATTCGGCACAAGTTATGTCAACTTATCAACGCTTTCTCTTCGAATACAAATACCTGTAATAAAAATAATGTAAATCATATACAATGTACCTGATATAGCCTGGAAGATTAATTTCTTTATCAAAAGCCTTCTATAGGATCGCATTGAGTTTTCCATATATGTAAATATTTCTCTTTTTGAGAAATGTGTACTAATACGAGTATCACTAGATGTAGTTGATTGCTGTATGAACTAGAAACACACATTTTGCTGTCTAGCCTTTCTGACACCGGATAGTGTTACTGTGTCCGGATCGATCCGTACTGGACAAACTATAAACGGGATTCGGACTGGTACTCGTCAACATCCCGTAATGGCTATGTGACCCCGGCTGTTAACACAATACCAGCACTTACCATTATTTCTGAGTCGGGTACCATAAACACCAGCCGAGCAACGACCTTTATATATTTGTACAGCTTTACTGGCCCATTCACAGGAACAGCTTCCGACCAAGGGAAAATATACGTCCGACATTTCCTGGACGTACATACATACATATACAGTTCTAATTTAAAATATCAGATGACACACACTTTCCCTATATCCTCTTTAGCTGGATCATAATCACGTGGGGGTCGGTATTTTGTTATGATACCTCTAGTGATAATCCTGTGATCTGATTGGCCGAGATAAATTGTTCATTTCACACTGTTACATTCGGTTTAACATGTACATGTAGTATTTATATAATATTGACTCAGTCTTACTATTTTTAGCAGTCAATATTCATGTTATGACGTCATTTCAATTATGACGTCACAATGCTTTCTGCCAAAAACAGTACTTCCCTGCGGACGATTTTCTTACGTTTCATCTTTTTAATTGATTACCATTTAATATCACAATTAAAGACTTCGTTGCGTTAATCTCGCTTTCCAAGGTTCATAAAACCACATATTCACCTCAACAAAAATCAAAAGATTATAAATATCTACTAGTGATATAATATCTATTGATTTAGTCTTTATGTCGGTTGCATTATTCATGCTATAAATATTCGATGCCATATAGCCTTCGTTTCTGCTGGTGGTTGCATTGCAACACAGATATTGACTAATGAATTTAATATTTATTGTTCTAATCTGATATGACAATATCGCTATTTTAACAACTTCTGTTCTGTCTTCCTGCTCTATACTTTTTGTTAATATTTTACCCCAAACACCTTTTTTTAATACTTCCGGTAACGATTTTCTCTCATCACTTCCGGTGATTTCTTTGTTTTATCGATTTACCGTTTTTATGTGGTGATAAATATCATCGTTAGTTACCATATCAAATTACTGACAATAATAAATATCCATTAATCTGTCTCCTAGTGTCGATTTAGAATTCTCTCTTGTCTCTTCGGTCGTAGTTTACTTTTGCGGTATTGACTTCACTTGTTTGTTGAAGCAGACGTAATGGATTATGTGTTTACAGCCTTGACGGGACGGGACCAGGCTGGCGACAACGCCGTGTCTTCACTTTTCGTCATAGTTGTTCGTAGTGTAGCATGTACTATTAAAGAATCTTTACTTCGTATCAATTATATACGAAGATTACTCACAGCTTAGTCCCTACTGCTTTGCTTTGAGCTATAATCGAAGTCTGAGATTTATATATTGACGGTATAAACTCGATATAATGCCCCACGTTCTACTTGGCATCTCCATTACCCCATCATATGTTAAGGTCTATATTCGACTTTTTCTTAAGAATTCCTGTATGTGTTCTGCTAAATTTTATCGCCAAACTTCTTTTTAATGCCAACATTTATCTGGACAAACATTGGCAGTTTAACGAGGTTTTACTGCAGCTGAGCAATATAACTGTTAATGTTAATAGGAATCATGTTCGAGGATTGATCGATGTCAAATTAGAATGCAAATCTGGAGATAGGTGGTTGAAACGTGCAAAAAGACATTCTAAATAAAGCTCTTAGATTGTGTGCATCAATGAAATATTTGTATTATTGTCCAGATCAAAAACCCTGTACCAAATAAGATATTACGCGCCAGACCTGCATATATCGACAGGCAATGCTTATGGTCAGTCTTATCCATGACTCTCGGTTTATTATGTAGCACTTGCTATTGATTTTGAGCGCCAGAAGCTGATTCAATGGCCGCTCATTTCTGCCTTACTGTGTGCTTCACCCGATCACCCAAAAAAATAAAGCTGGTCTAATTGTAAGTATACATGGCCTTTTTACATTCAGAGAGTTTTAAGTTCCTCCGCTTATGGCAAATAAACCCAACAATACCGTCTTTAATCAATTTGAGACAGACAGAATAGGGTGTCAAGCGATAGGACTTTGATACACATCAATCGATACACCGACTAAGCACCCCACAAACCTTTCTGACGACCAGCACACTACCTCCCAAGCACGCGACTGGATTACAAATTACAATTTTCAGCTTTTATAGATGAATTTTTATCGAACACATGGTATTGAGATATTTCTTTCAGGTTAAGATAAAAACCAAAAATCATTATGTACAATGCTATAAAATGGAGCCGCGTACTGATTAACACAAGAGCACATAACCATTCCATGATGATTACACATAAAATTACTCCGCCCCTTTAAAACTGTAAATAGTCCAATAACGGATCATGGACCTTTACTTTTGGTTATCAAATTATTGTTATCATGTTTTCATTTCAGGCTAACCTGACGGGGTACAGTGTACTACTGTGTAGCTATGCCAGCGGTATCGGCGAATGTGTCTGAGTGTGTTCAGGCGCTTCTTGAGCAGCTGTTGTCACAGCAGACCCCATCACCGTGTAGTAACAACAGTACCTCCGCGCCGAGTGAACGCTCGGAGTCTCGGGCTCTGCTCTATATAGTTGTAACACTGTTGTTCTACTCTGGGGGAATTATCATCGGTATCATCACTTATCTAAAGCGTGAGAGGAGAGAAATAGAGGAGGATCGGGCGTTTGATGAATTTATCAACACTTACATTGAACCGGAGACCCGGACAACGTTCCATAAAGTGCAGCAAGTTATTGCAAGACTTAAATACCTACAGGAGGAAAAAGTAAGAAAAATGGGGAGTAAAGGGACGGATGTGAAATCTATATCGAACGACAATGAGGATAAAACGGATAACGCCGATCAAAATGAACGTGTAGATAATTCTCTCATCAAGACGGCAAACTCGTGGAACGAGACAGAGAACACGAGGCTTGATAACGCTTTTTGTGAGGACGATGAACCACTATCATCCATCGTCGCTAAACTTATCGACCCCGAAAAACGGCGATCGTTCGACGTGGATTCGGACGAGGAGGACGACTATCGCGAGGGTGGTCTCACAAAGACACCCTCTATGCAGTCTATCAAGGATTATACCGAGGAACCAGGGAGGAGCGCGCGCTCCTCTCTCATCGACGACGACAACGAAATGGACGACGACTCATCTACTTTGATCAACAATGAAAGACTTGGCAACAAAGAGGACGTACATTGTAAGACCGTAAATAAGGGATGTATAGTGACGAATGTTTAGTGTAGTACCCATCATTCATACACCTGTGGGCAATAAGTCCCTAACTGTATTATGCAAGCACATCAAAGTCAGCAACCCTACGACATTTTATCAAGGTAGGTTCTCACCTGTGTCTCATACCTGTTATTCTGATCACGTCATACCTGCCATACTGATTACGTCATAACTGTAATAATACTGGTTACGTTTTCGGTAACTCACCTGAATCGCGAATTGTCGTCTGACATGAATACCTGTTCATGAATTGTGATGGTTGGAACTATAATCCCGATAACTACACCCCCCTGACAACATATTGGAACTGATATTTCATTTAAGAAGACACTGGCAGAAGATCAAATATGTGAGGAACTACCACCGTCAATTAGTAAGGCTGTGAGACTTAAACATCCAATTTTCATAACTGCTGCCCCCTTGTTATGGGGGTTTCATCTTAGTGTGTATTCGAGGATGCATACTACATTGTTGTGACCCAATGTGTACGCCGAGCCGTTCGAGGGACCACCGAAATTATTACATGGCTGTTTGTTTTTGTAACTTTAATGGTAAGATTAGCGTGATTTATTACTACACTGATATTACAATAGAAAAAACATTTTTATTGATTTACACAGAGCGAATGCGATTTTTTTTCTAGATGGTTATTACTATAAATTTTGATTAAAATTGTGATTGAACACTGTATTGTTAAGTTGTTCGACTAATGTTTACTGGTATTATGTGCAGACTCGACAACTGAAATAGATTTGTGTTATTAAATTGCACACATAGAAAAAAAATCAAATCATTCCAGGCCTTTGCCTGCTTCTTTTTGGTGTCAGTAAAATAAAACCGCTAATTTGTTCAAATCATAATCAAGGTTTTAGAACAGATATAAATAATTCAGGGTTATTCGATCATTTGAGCCGCCAATGTTTCGGGTGACGTCATATTCACTGCTGATAACACTACGTTTCCATGGTAATGTTTAAGAAGATGATTGTCTCCTTGAAGCAGATTGGGGCCTGCTACTGGTAAGTTTGCGGTACACTCCCCGATACATACATGTAGATTCCCCCGATAGCGTTAAATTACTGATCATGCAGTACACAGAACAAATACTGGGAAGGTAGTAACTTCGTTCTCTCCCTGTAGTCATTGAGTCATCAATTCTACTGGAAAAAGGGACTGCTTGATTTCTCATTCGCCGACATTCTTGGTAGTTGTTGGCACGTCCTTTTGTGTACAGCTATTGGCTTTAAACAGGTTAAAGTATGCAAAGAAAATGTTTCACTTAGAACCTCAATTAGAAAATAAATATCTGTAATTTTTTTCTACAATAAGTTGGTGTATACACGACTACAGTTATATTTACTAGGTGTGTATGTGACAACAGTTCTATATAGTTGGTGTGTATGTGACAACAGTTCTATATAGTTGGTGTGTATGTGACTACAGTTATATTTACTAGGTGAGTATGTGACTACAGTTATATATAGTTGGTGTGTATGTGACTACAATTATATTTAATAGATGTGTATGTGACTACAGTTATATATAGTTGGTGTGTATGTAACTACAATTATATTTAATAGGTATGTATTTGACTATAGTTATATTTAGAAGGTGTGTAATTGACTACAGTTATATTTACTAGGTGTGTATGTGACTACAGTTATATTTACTAGGTGAGTATGTGACTACAGTTATATTTAGTAGGTGTGTATGTGACTACATTTATATTTAGTAGGTGAGTATGTGACTACAGTTATATTTAGTAGGTGAGTATGTGACTACAGTTATATTTACTAGTTGTGTATCTGACTACATTTATATTTACTAGGTGAGTATGTGACTACAGCTATATTTAGTAAGTGTGTATGTGACTACAGTTATATTTACTAGGTGAGTATGTGACTACGGTTATATTTAGTAGGTTTGTATGTGACTACAGTTATATTTAGTTGGTGTGTATGTGACTACAGTTATATTTAGTAGGTGTGTATGTGACTACATTTATATTTACTAGGTGAGTATCTGACTACATTTATATTTACTAGGTGAGTATGTGACTACGGTTATATTTAGTAGGTTTGTATGTGACTACAGTTATATTTAGTTGGTGTGTATGTGACTACAGTTATATTTAGTAGGTGTGTATGTGACTACA